TCGGGCGCCGGTGGGACAGAGGGGGTAGGCAGTTCCCTTCCCTCGAGAAGGCTGTGGTAACGGGGCCTAGAAGAGGTGGGGTGCGAAGCCGGGGGCAACAGAGCCCTCGTGAGAGCCGCGGGCAGGAGACGTGGGCAGCCCTGCCTGCTGCAGGCTCTGGTGGTTCAGGGGGGTGTGGGAGGCCGGGGCTGGCCCTGTCACGGGGCTGGGACAGGTCTCTAGTACGCAGCGACTCTCCCCCTCTTTGAGTCCCGCAAGCCTGGAGGAGAAGCAATTCCTCCCCTCCAAGGGCGTTGTGCCACCTCCCACCGCTCGCCAACCGAACTCCTGGTAGTCCCCGGAGGTCCGAGACGACTGCGAGGAGCAGGCGCTCTGTGGTCCTTCTCACCAGTCCCTTCTTTGCAGGCACGGCTGCCGGACGGTCATCGCAAGCCGGAACCTGCAGCGAGTGTCGGAGGTGAGTCCGTGGGCTCCGGCGGCAGTAGGGAGAGCCGTGGACGGCTAGCAATCCTTCTGCCCTCTGCACTGGATGGAACTGGGAGCCCCGGGGTGGTGCAACAGGAGAAATGGCTCACCCGTGCTACCCTGTCTTCTCCCGGCTCTGAGTGCTCTGGCAGCAGCAGGGAGCAGTGATGGGTAGGATGGGTGCGGGTTTAGGGTTGGCTGCACCTACCGCATCTCGCAGTAGGGCTCAGTTACTTGTGGAAATACCTTCCTCCGCCAGTTTTGGGAGAGTCTGTTCCAGGTATCGCATCGCCTTTTCGTTGATGAGACAGAGAGAAACAAACCGCGGTGAAGGTTTGTCAGCAGGGAAGTGGCAGAGCCCAAGGTCAAACTTAAATGTCAGCCTCGAGCAGGGCAAGGCCCCCTTGTCCAAGGGTTACGTGGGTTGAGGTGGGTACTCTGAGCCTCAAAATCTCAGTTATATTGCACCTTGAGATGGAGGGTAGGATGCGGGTCTGGAGAGCGGTGACTGAAGAAACTGTATTAGACTGTAGCTACCCTGTGGACGGCTGGGCAGAACAAACAGCCACCCCTGCGTGTCTGACCCCGGGCTGGAGTTTGGCCGATCACAGTTTCCGTTCCTCACCGTGGCTTGTGCCGTGGTCTGAGGCTGAAAGCGGCTGAGAGCGAGCTTTGCGGTAGCTGTGCGTGGAGTTCACTGAAATACAGCAAAGATCAAAATGGATGCTTGGGAGTGAGCTGGCATGACCCAGCTGCCTCCTGGAGGGGGTTAGTGCTGTCACTTCGCATTCCCTCATGCTCGCGTAACGGAAAACAAGCTGCAAAGCTCAGCAGCTTTTTAGTCCTCAGGGGCTGGGGTCTTCTGAGTACACAGGGACTGCTTTCCCAGGCTCTTGACGCTCGGCGTACGTGTGTGCTAGTCGGGGCTCAAAGCTTCTCACGGAAGGGCCCCGACGAGCCTGAGCAGGAACGTGGTGTTGTGCAGGGTGTTGTGCAGGGTTGCCGCTGAATTTGCGCGTCCCCTGCGCTTAGTTTGCTGAGGGGAGTCATGTTCTTAACGAGCGCCTCGGGGGTGGTTTGCGGCAGAGGCTGAGCGGCAGAGCTGGCCGGCTCTGCCTGGCGGGCAGAGACCCCGGCAACTGCTGGACTGTGTTTGCCCTTTTGCCTGCTGACGTTTTTTGGATCTAAAGGTTAATTACGTCTAGGCTCATGCCAAAAACGCCTTGTTGGGGTCCAACCTTTGTACTTGCCCTGCAGAGATGTCGCTCGGCATGTGCTGTGTCGATGACGGGCCACAGAGGTAACTGGGCTTAACGAGTTGTGGCCTCAGGGCCAGCCTGGCATTCGCTTGGGATACAACTTGCAGGAGCTTTCTCTGGCTACCCCAGGGCTTTAGCTGCAGGGTGCTGCCGGGCTGAAGCTGGCCGTGTTTAGGCAGGTCTTTCCCCTGCCCACAGCGTTTGCCGTCTGCTGACAGGGACGTGGCTCCTGCCTGACTTCTCGCTCGCCTGTTACGAGGTCTGGGTCTAACCCTTGCTGAAGGAGAGAGTCCCAGAAAGAATCTTACCTCTTTCCCTCCCCCCCCCCCCCCCCTTTTTTTTTTTTTTTTTTGCAGGCCTCTAAAAATCTGGTGGCGGCTACGGGCCAGCAGTGCCTGCCTCTGTCCATAGATGTCAGGCAGCCCCAAACCATTGTGGCAGCGGTGGATGAGGCACTGAAAGAGTTCAAGCGGATTGACATCCTCGTTAACGGTGAGCTGCTGGGGCAGGCGGAGGGAAGATCTGGCACAGACTCGCTGCTAGGAAGGGCATTTTCCTGCATGGGGGTTGTGTTTGCCTAGTGTCTGGCTTGTGCAGCTTTGGCCTGGGAGCATCTGGGCAGCCCCTGGGAGCGCAGAGGGGATGGGCTCAGAGGAAGCAAAGGCCTGTTCTTAACGCGTGGCCACCCGATCATCCCTGCTCTCGCTGCACCAGCACCCTCCTGCCCTCAGGCTGGCCGTGCTGCTTGGCACCCAGAGCCACAAGCTGTTTATCCCCTTATCAGGGCTGTTTCCACGTGCTCTCCAGTCTACCCAAACAGTATCGCTCACCGTCCCTCTCGCAGAAGTGCCCTGAACCTGCCTGATCTCTCCTGGCCCAGTCCTGACTGTGGCCCCGGCTGCTTGTTCTTCAGGTGCTGCAGGAAACTTTCTGTGCCCAGCCAGCGCCCTGTCCTTCAACGCCTTCAAAACAGTGATAGATATCGACACCATTGGCACCTTCAACACCTCCAAAGTCCTCTTTGAGAAATATTTCCGGGTAAGTGGAACCAGAGCCAGAGGACTCGGTGGGGAGGCTCCTGGTAGGCAGGGGGTTAGTGTCAAACACACCACACTTTGCTCCTGAGAAATTCAAGGAAGTGTGGAAGGAAGAAGGGACCACAGCACCCGTGTACCCAGGGCTGCGCTGCCGGGCCTCTGCCACCCACCCTGCTCAGGTCCAGTCCGTTCCCTCCCAGGGATGGCAGTCCCTGTGCCGGAACTGGGAATCCTGCCTGTCCCTAGCCCTGGGGCTTTTGACTGTTGTGGCACCTTCCCACGCTCTGCCACCTCCCGGGGAAGAAGCTGTGAACAGCTGCTCCTTTTCCAGCTCCTCTGCTTTCCCTCGGCCTTTGCCTGTCCCCTGCATCTCCTGCCTCTCTGGAAGGGCCCCGCTGGCTGCCCCGGCTCAGCGAGGCCGTGTGAGCAGTGCTGCCCCAGTGATGGGTTAGCAACGCAGAGGTGGCAGTGCCCAAGGGTGACCGTCCCTCCTAGCCCAGCTCTCTTGTCCCACCACTCCCCTGCGTGACCCCTTGTGCTGCTCCCTGCCTAACGCCACGTCTCCTTTCCTTCCCCAGGACCACGGTGGGGTCATCGTTAACATCACGGCAACCCTGAGCTACCGAGGGCAGGCCCTCCAGGTGCATGCTGGTACTGCTAAGGCTGCCATAGGTACCTACACGCTCCTTGCTGGGGCTCTGTGAGCTGTGTGGGGCCAGTAAGGAAGCCGGTTCTTCCTGAATATTGGGATGGGAAGATGTCCTTGGGAGAGGCGAATATGAATCGGTGTGGTTACTGCGTGCCTGGGTTTGGGGTGAGGCTCTTCTCTCCCCCAGGGCTCTTCTAGGGCCCTTTGTTCTTGGCCAGTCTCCTGTGGCTTTTTGCCCCCCCTGCCCCCCAAAAAGTTACTGGACTGGCTCTGCTCTCCATTTCTTATTCCTGTTGTAATCCCTTCCCAGATGCCATGACCCGTCACCTTGCTGTGGAGTGGGGACCCAACAACATCCGAGTGAACAGCTTGGCGCCGGGCCCCATTACAGGCACCGAGGGCTACCGGCGGCTGGGTAAGGCAGCCTGGGGCTCCTGTCCCTGCCTCGGCGGTGGCTTGCTGGCATCTCTCTGGGAGGGGACTGTGATGGACCACCAGTGCCATGCAGCTCGTGGGGCATGTGATGAGGCCGGGGCTGTTGCTGCTGGGCACGGCTGTCCTGCGACTCGGCTGGCACATCTCTTTGGGAGAGCAGCCCTTCCCGCACCCTCGGTACCTCACAGGGCACCGATTTTTCTCTGTCGAGTGGCAGCTTTTTGTGCTCTCGACACCACGATGTAACGTGCTCCCCCAAAGCTCAGCCTGACCAGCTGCCTTGCCTGATGCTTCAGGTCTTGCAGTCTGTCAGCGGAGCGCCGGTTCAGCCCTGGAGGCTGGGAAAGCTCTCTGAGGTCCTGTCTTGAGCTCACACATCCCGCTGCTGGGCTTGACCTCCTCTCTTCTCAGGCCTTTGTCCCTGGACTGTCCCCAGGGCTGTGCCAGGATCTCATCTAGGTTCCCCGGGGCTCTCAGCAAGCCCCATGCAAGCAGCGCTGCAGTGTCTGGCAGGCAGTGGTGGCGGGCGGGTGGTCCCGTGGTCCTAGCTGACTCTTTCTTCTACCACTCTTAGGTGGGAAGTTTGCCGAGGAAGCAAGCCAGTTCGACATGATCCCGCTCCAGCGTGCAGGGAACAAGACGGAGATCGCCCACAGCACGCTGTACCTGGCGAGCCCCCTCTCCTCCTACATCACGGGCACCACCCTGGTCGTGGACGGCGGGAGCTGGCTGACCTCTGCCAACAACTTCCCCGCCTTGCTGGGTATTGCTTCATCCTCTGCTAAACTCTAGGTGACGTGCATTTCCCCCTCCGTGGGATTAGAGCAGGGCTCGTGTCAGAAACCCTGTTGCCCTGTGGTATAGGGGCATGGCTGCCATAGCAGCGGGTATGGCGTTACCTTCTTCAGGTGCCTTGGTCATCTCGTACCCGTATCAGGCTCTGCCCCTCCTGAGGCAGCTGCGTGGCACATACTGTGGTGGGGAAGATGCTGGGTGTGAGGGCAGCCAGCCCAGGTCTCGACTTGGCAGCGCTTGTTCTCAAACCTTCCTCTGCTTTTGGGAAGGTGGAGCAGGGTCACCCCCCACCCTGTTGTCAGAGCAGGCACAGAGCAACGTGGGGAACATCTCCGAGTCCTCGTGGACGGGTCCTAGGGGTGGCTTGGGAAGGGCAGGAGAACTTGCTGGGTTTTTCCTCTGAGCCTGCGGTTGACATGGTACCTCTTGTCGTTCCTGCTGGAGGATGCTTGTCTGGACGCCTCTGAGTGTCCCCTGAAGCGACGTGACGCCCCTTTTCTGTGCCCCACCAGCAGGATTGGGCACAGAGAGTCCTGACAGCCTCTGCCTCCCCTTTCTTCCTTGCATGAGTTACTGCAGCGTGTCTTGTGTTGCGGTTGAATCGCACGCAGGACTCATGTCGGCTGCGTATGTCTGCAGAGGTGGGAAGGGAGCTGGCGCCTGGTTACTGGGGCCTGGCGCTTTTTGGGAGAGGGGTCTCCTTTCTTCCCCTCTCCCCCTGCTTGGGTCCTGCCTGGCAGCCTCTGTGAGCAGGGCAGGCCCAGGCAGGACTGTGTACCCACCTCCGTGCTGTCTTGCAGATTTCTGGGCTGCAGGAGCAAACAAAAATCAGTGACGGACAGCCTGGGATTGACCGATGGACGGAAACGCGACCGAACACTGCTGCTCTGGGACATCTCGGGGTGACGTCTCCCAGAGTCGGAGCCGATAGCTGCCGCCTCTGATCAGCGACTGGTGGTGGTGGTGACGCTGCTGATCCTGCGTCCGCCTGGGGGAGGGAGCACCGGGGGTGCTGGGTGGGGGGCAAGCCCACCCTCGTTCTGTGCCGCTACTTTCTTCTGAGCTGACGTGGCTGAGGGTGCAGGGACAGCGCGGGGCGTGCAGGCTGTGATGTTCACTGTCAGTTTGTGTCTCCCTCCAAGTTGCTCTCCTGGCCTTTCCCGAGTCCCCGGCAGTGCCGCCCATGGATATCCGTCCTTGTCCTCCCCTCTCCCCCATCTCAGCCCGAGAGCTGCCCAAGACCCCCAGAAGCAGCTCCTTTTTTGGGAGGGGGGAGTAGTTCAGCCCGTCTGGGGTTGAGATCGGCCTTCGTGCTGGGGGCAGCTCGGGCTTGGCAGCAGTAGCTGGCGGCTCTTGGAGGGGAAACAAGGACCAAGCTGGCCCCTGGCAGGGGGAAACGGCCCCGTCCCCTTGGGGGGGGGGGGGGGGGGGGTGTCTCGGTTGGGG